TAGGGAAAGCCAGGGACTGACAGAAGTGGATTCTGGATGCCCTTGAAGGTGGACATAATTTCATGACGATGATGAAGATGGTGATAGAACAATACAAGGTACCAGAGAAAGACATCTATGCTGCTGCTGACAGTGGATAAATAAAGGGGAACCAACGAGCAAGACCAGAGAAGCTAAAAACTTTCTCGCTGAACAAAAGTAATATTAATTCTAGTCATTCATACTTACTGCTTAGCATTTATGCCTAATTAGTGCAGCTCAATGTGTATGATTAGCACCAGATCAATTGAGTTGTGTGTTTTGACTGATCATAACAATCATAGGTACAGCTGATCTTTCTAGTGTGTTAATGCAGATTGGTCCTGGATCCCTTGTGGTAGCAGCGGTGGAATAATGATAACAACATGCACTACAAATGCTAAATCAGGTAATTTTCACAAAAGCCCATGTCTATATTCCCTATGATTCCTGCCTGTTTTACAGAAAGAAGTGGTGTAGCTTGCCCAAGGTCCTGTAGCTGATGAGCAACAGAGCAGGGATGTGAACCTGTCTGGATCCAGTGCTTAACCAGTCTGCTACTCCACATTCCCATGATGCTTTTTGCAGAGGGCCAGGTTCCCTGTTCCACTCAGCTGTGTCCCCTCTGACCCTTTTGCTCATGTCCCCTGCCCACTGCCTCCTCACCTGTATAGCTGCTGGAAGGAAGTGAGTGCTCTGGTCCTCCATTGAGCTCTGGGGCTCCTTGTGTCTCTGCCACTTCCTCTTTCTCCTCCTCTTCCCGAACCTCAGGGGCTTCCTCCGGTGGCTGCTCCATGGCTTATTTCCCCTCGGCGCCACGCCTGCAGGCCCGGTCATAGTTCTGGCATCATCTGGGTCTGAACTCAGATGGACCTCTACAGGGTGGTTCCTGTCAACCTGGGCAAAGGAGAAGATAGGAAGAGGTTGGGAGAGGCAGTGAAAAAGACAAGAGGGTGATCGGAGCGGGGCATGATTGAGGGCTACCATCTGGGGGGACAGTATGGAGGTTTCCCCTGTTCTTGCTCCTTCAGAGCAGGAACACCTCATCCCTGAAGTACCATCCCACAGTCTATACTCCTTGCATCACAAGTCACTTATCCTCCTGCCCTTTGCCCACTTGGCTTTTATGGCAGGTTTGTAGGAGTTCAGAGTAGTCTTCTTTAACCAGATAGGGTGACACACCACTATGCTACCTTTCCCTGCCTTCTCTGCTGCATCCTGCTCTTTGAGTTCCTGAGCATACAGGAGGCACATAAGAATGACCTGAGGGGCTTTTTGAAACTCTCCAGTCCCCCTGGAGATCCTGAGAGCCATCACACCTCCCAACCCCCATCCTGTCCTCACCAGTACTCAGGCCCCAAAATCATTGCTTTTCTAAGCCAACATTCTTGAAGGGAGTGGTTCCTATCCTTCCTGTGTTTCGATGTGGATAAAAGACATGAGCCCTGCCATGCTAGGCTCACAGTTGACAGAAAATCTGCAACTAGGCCCTCAGTGGCAGAGCCATTAGGTAAGGAAAGATATATTCCATCCTGTAATCTTTCCTAAGGTAAGTTACTAGGTGGTGACCCCCATGTCTGCATCATCCAGGAGGAGTCAGTTCCAAACCTCAGCAACTAAGATATCGTCCAAAAATGTCACAGTCAGAGATGGTAAGATCGAGGTAATTTGGGAGAGTCTTCCTAGCAGGGAACAGTAGGGAGATGTCTTGACAATAGGGTAGATTTTGACCAGAGGAGATGGCATGGGACTCCTCTTGGGGATACAGCATGAGAAAAGACTCAGAAGCAGCACAGTGTGGAATGGTGAGGAGTCCTGTTGTTTGGGGAGTGGGGTGCTACAGGAGAGAGGATTTGGAGGGATGGCGGGGAAGATGGGTTGTATCCAGACGTGTGTGCTTCAACTGCCTTGGCACTGGGAGTGTGACTGAATTCTGCTCCGTGCTAGTGAAGGCCTAGAAGGATTAGGAGCAGAGAATACCTGCTTTAGGGAGATTCGAGCATCTGTGGGACCCCTTATCTTGAACGTCCCACAGGCAGCTCAAACTCAACCTATCTCAACAGAACCCACCATCTTCTCCCAAACCTGTCCTTCCTCTGTAATCCCTACCTTACTGACCCACATGCCCATTTACCCACTTATCAAAACCAGAAGACAAGAATCACCTGAGACTCGTCCCTCTCACCCTGCTCTAGACTTGCAAACTTGGTTATATTGAACTCACTGGGGAGTTTAAAAAAATATGGATGTCTAGGTCCATCCTCAGAGACCCTCATTTGATTGGTTTGGGGAGCAGGTTGGACAACAGGATTTTTATTTTTAATTCCCCTGGGGATTGTAATCATTCCTTTCTATCGGGCCTTCCCCGTTCCATCTCCCCCTGCCTTAATTGGTTTTCCTAAGGCAGTTTAGAAGTTTAGCCCTAGAGTCTAAGAGCTGGGGAGCTGGGAATCTATAACTTTGGGGGTATCCTTGTTGATGTGACAACCACAGGAAGGGATTCAGTTCCCCAAAGGAGAGAGTGACATGTCAAGGAAGGACAGAGGAAGAGGCAACAGAGCAGACAATGGGGCAGTGGCCAGAGGCAGGAGAGACACACGACAGCTTGGCATCTCAGAGCCAAGAATAGGGCTGTCTTTCAGGGTAAAGCGGGCAACCTGGTCAAATACTGCAGAGTTCTAAGGGTGATAAACTGATACCGCTGGATTCAGTGACTGTGAGGTCATTGATGACCTTGTGAAACAAGTTGCAGCCAAGTGGTTGGAATGGAAATCTGGGCTCTGAAGAATCAGTGGTAGCGAGGAAGCTGAGACAGTAAATGGAGACTAATTTTTTGGTGAACATATCAGGAAAAGAAATGTATAAGAAGACACTAGATTGAGAAAGTAGCAAAGCCAGGAAGAAGTTTTTTGGAATAGAGGAAACTGAAATAAGCTGTAGATAGAGGAGAGATCTGCAGAGAAAGACAGGAAGATTCAAGGGGGAAGCCAGGGCAGGAAGATTGACGAGAGGGGAATAATTCAAGGGCACAGGATGAAGAAAGTAAAAGGAAATACAGCAGTGTGTGTCTGTTGGGAGGGAGGGGTTAAAGTTCATATGGAATGGCCTCTTTGTAGTCAATTAAGTAGGAGGGATTATTGTTTACTGAGAGTAAAAGAAGGGACTTGAAGAAAGCAAAGAATTTGGGTGGAGGCACTTTGGCAAATATGACAGGGAATTAGCTGGAAAAGAATAAAAAGAATTATAGGAAAGCTACAATAATTTAAATAGTGTGGTACTGGCACATGAATAGACAACGAAAGTGAATATAAAAAGTGAATAAATAAATGAAAACACATATGGAACTTTAATAAAAGACAGCACTTCAAATCAGAGGGAAAAGGTGGCTCTTTCAATAAATGGTAATCACTGGAACAAGTGAGTAGCCATCTGGAGAAATTAAGCTGGATTCCTACTTTACACCTTATACCAAGACAAGGCCCAAATAAATCAAAGATTTTAAAGTTAAAACAAAAACACCTGAACTATACAAATAGTCTTGAGGTGGGGGAAGAGCTAAGAATGACAGTAAACACATAAAAGTTTATGGGTTAAAAGATTATGAGTAAAGATTAATAAATTTTTTCCTTCTCTTTTAATCTCCCCCCTCTTCCACCCCTGATCTACAGATGTTGCCATCTCCCCTTAAGAACTGGATCTCTGAAGGTGGGGTGTCTCCTCCCATGCGCTCGCAGTGCACCCCCAGGGCCTGGCGTATGGGGCCTGGCGCCCCCGGGGTATGGTCTTTGGCTCCACCTGGGGTGCGAACCCAGGACCTTCTACGAGAAAAGCAGACGTGCTAACCATTATGGAGCCACCCCCAAGATTAATCAATTTGAATATAAAAAATATAAACTTTCTACATAGTAGAACCATCAGAAGAAAAAAAACCATAATAAATTGAGAAAAATATTTGCGACTTAACAAAGCTAATTTCCCTAAAATAGTTCCTACAAATTAATAAGTAAAAGACCAGCAATCCAGTAGCTGAAGATATGAAATTGTGTACAAAAAAAGTACACATTTGGCTCTTGAACATATGAAAAGATGCTCAACATTTATAGAATGAGAAATGCAAATTAAAACAACACTGAAATACCCTTTTTACAATCAGATTAAAACAAATGCTTACACGTTGCTAAGCATGTGGGAAAACAATCTCACACATCCCTGGTATAAAGGTAAATTGGTACAACCTCTAGCAGGCGAATTTGGCTATGTTTGTCTAAATTACAGGTGCACATTCCCTTTGACCCAGAAATACCACTTCTAGGTTGTAGCCTAAGCTATACTTCCACTTAAGCGAAATGACATAATATACTATGCATTACAGTATTTGTGACTAGTAAGAGGTGGAGAACAAACTAAATGCCCATTAACAAAGCACTTGATATGGCCCTTTCACCATGAGGACATAGCTAGACGGTGAACCAGCAAGTGGGCTGCACCAGACTCCGAAGCTACCATCACCTTGATCTTGGAATTCCCAGCCTCCAGAACTGTACTGGGTGGGGAGGGGGGGGGAGGGGGAAGGTTTTAAGCGGCTCTGCAAAGGGCAGGAGAAAAGGACTACCCCAAGGCTAAGGTGGGGTGACCAGCTGCTGTTCCTTGGCATCATGATCCTCATGGTTGTGGTCATCTCCCTGCAGTTTTACGTTCTCCTCTGGAAGGCCGGCAACCTCACTGACTTGCTCAGCCTGAGGATCGGCTTCTACAACTTCTGCCAGTGGAACTAGGGCACTGGCTCCCTACAGTGCCACCAGTTCCCTGAACTTGAGACCCTGGGGGTTCGTCAGGTTGGCCTGGCTCTGGCCAGGCTTGGCAGGTACAGGGCCCTGGTTCTCACTCTCTTTGTTCTCCTGCCTCTCCTCCTGGCCCAGTGCAACAGTACAAGGGGGAGTGGCAGCTGGCAGTGGGCTTCCTGGTGACAGCCTCCATGCTGCTGGCTGGAGACCTGGGCTTCTTCCTCAACTACGCCTGGAAGTGGATCAGGTTCTCCCTCCTGGGGTCTGGGATTTTAGCTCCAGGCATGCCCAGGCCTTACTCATCCTCTTGTTTACAGCCGCAGTTGTATTCCCTCAGAGGGCAGAGAAGGACAAGAGCAAGCTTGAGAGCTGCTAGTCTTGTCTAAAGGCTCACACGACTGTAAAGGTTCAGTCTGAATGATGCTCAGAAAAGATGCCAGAGAAGTCATGGGTTGGTATATCTTGTCAGCCATCCTGTTCCATAGCTAATGGTGAGACAGGCCCCACCGCTGACGGGGTGGGGCACCTGGAGTCAAGGAGGCTAAGAAGCAGCAAGGGTGGCTGGGGCACCTGCAGCTTCTTAGTATAGGGCTATCTGTCCTTTGGGGCTTCTAAGGTTCTCAAGGACACCCTAAAACCATGTAGCTCATTGTCACAAGCATTCCTACTTTAATTAACTGATCCGAGCAAGCCATTCCTACTTCATTTTCAGTATGGTGGGGAGATACAGATTCCTGTCATGGGGCCAGGAGGATCTGCCGAATTCGAAACTAAAACGTAGCGAAGGCTTCTGGCAACAAATGAGAAACAATGAGAGAGGGCACCTCAGTATCTTTGAGGCCCTAGGTTAGTAATCTTCCCCCTCCTCCTCTGTCCCTGGTGGGTGGGATGTGATGAGCCCTTCCCCGGTGACACCACTCCCAAAGGCCCAGGAGAGATCTCCAAGGGAGTCACTGAAGACAGAACACATGGGCTTTGGGCTTTGCAGGTACCCTGAATAAGTTTCCTGGATCTGAAGCCAGACAGCACAGAAGAGTCAGCTGGCATCATTCCAACAGTGGGACCTGGGAATTTGGGGGCAGAACACACCAAGTCCTGGGCAAGAAGGAAGGT